TTCCTTAATGACCTCGAATTTAAATATATGAGCTATGGGGACCATTCCTATTCAAACCAGCACAGATGGGGAGAGGACTGAGGTGGGAGGCAGATGGGGTGGGTACACAGAGCCTACTCAGCCCTGGGGAGGTGGCCTCCAGCTGAGCCACAGGAATGGGGAACACCAGCATGGCCCTGGCCATCAGCCAATAGCCCCTGCCACTATCTACTCTGCCATACTCTAGCAACCTTCATTCTGATTCTACAGAGAGCCGTCTGTGCAGCCTCAACCATCAGCTGAAGAAACCGAGGCCCAAAAGTGAGTGACACATCTGAGGTTGAGAACATGTCCATGCAGCCCCTTCCCTCTTGTCATGACTCTGAGGATTCTGTCCACCTTTGACCTCTGGCACATCTCAGCTTTATGCATGCATGTGTGTGTGATGTATGTATGTATGTATGTATGTATGTATTCATTTCTGAATGGTGACTAAACCTAGGACTTTGCCCATGACAGACAAGTGTTCTACCACTGAGCTGTATTGTACCCCTGTTTTTACTCATATTTACACTGAGACAGTCTTATTAGGTTGCCCAGGCTAGATTTGAACTTTCCATCCTTCTGCATCTGCCTCCAGACTAGCTTCAATTAAAGGTCTGTGCAGCACTAGCAGGCTCCGTTGCCGATGCACTTTGGTTTTTGTTGTTGTTCTTTTTTTCCCTATTCTGTCTTATGAGACAGTGTCTCGTGTAGCCCAGGCTAGTCCAGAGCTCATGATGTAGCAAGGGGTGAAATTCTGGGACTACAGGCATGAGCCCTGCCCCAGGTTTACATGGTGGAGTCCAGGGCTCCATGCATGAGCCAGTCGCATGCCCCCAGCTCCTTAGGCTTCTCTGAAAGCCTGCCCCATCCTCCCTTGGGGCTTCTCCCGAGCTTTCACCACTCTTCCGTGATGGACACTGGCCACCACCATCCCAGAGCTAAAACCCCACTGTGGCTCCCAGCAGCCTAGTCCTGTGTGCAGTCTGGGGGAGGAAGGGCACCACAGAGAAAAACCTCATTTTTCAGAAGATGCTCGGTCAAAGAATGGCTGCCTCACGTGACCAGCGCCCCAGGGCAAAGCAGACAGACGGCAATGCTAAGTGCCCCCAACCGCATGCAAGGGAAGGTTCCCGGAAGAAAACAGCGCCAGTGGTCCACAGCCACGAGCCTGGCCCAGCCGCATGGGTAATTCCAGGACAGACACTGATTAAGCTGCTTTGGTTTTGGCTTTGAACTCACAGAGCTCCAGGCTAGAGGAGGACGTCAGCGCTCATCCTGCCTGTGGAGCCTCTCAGGGGCAATCATGGGCGGTGGCCAGGTTCCCACACCCACCCCAAGCTGCCTGTGCCCACCACCATGAAACACCACAGAGGAGAGAGGCCCTCAGTTCGAATCCCGTCCTGCTACTAACGTCCTGGTGGTGCCAGTTCCCTGAGATATATATTGAGCACTTCAGAGTGTCCCTTTCCTGTTCTAAACTCCAGGACGCTAAAGCCAGGGTGTCAGCAGGGCCAGGCCCCTCCACAAGCCCAGGGCAGCCTCTCCTAGCTCCCCCAGCTCCCAGTGGGACTTCACCCCACGCCATCTCCATCTTCGCAAGGCCTTCCCTTAGCGTGCCTGTGTCCCTGTGGTCCCCTCTTTCCTTAAGGACACCAGTCATTGGGTCGGGGCTCCCTCCATCCAGCACGACCTCACAGCCTCGTCTTGACTTGGGGATGTTTACAAAGACCCTATTAACAGAGTCAGTGGGGATAGGGCATGTCCTTGGGAGCACTGGAGCAGGAAGCCGTGAGCAGCCGCTCCAGCTCTGAGCCATGAAGGAACCCTCTTAGAGCTGCATGGACAGTCCCCTTCCCAAAGCCACACGCAATGGTGGCTGCTGCTCCCATCACCCACAGGCACAGGAGCTGCCCAGCAGCCCCAGGTACGAAGTCAGAAGGGATTTATACCCCATTTGGCCATGGAGTGAGTGGATCCGTGGGGTAGCTGCAGCCCGTCTAGGCTCCTCGGTTCTTTCTGTTCAGGCTCTGGAGCCCTGTCAGGGTCAGGGTTAGCGCATCAAGTCTCTGCGCCTCCATCATCATCTTCATCTAACGTGCTTTGAGAAGAATCCAGAGGTCTCAGAGCTGACAGGCTGATAGGTACTCAGGAGCGCAGACCAGTGTCCAGGCCAGATCCTACAGAGATCTGCTTCAGGGGCCCCACAGGAGTCATGTTTGAGCTCCAGGAACCCACATGTGACCCTGTGGCCCTCCACTATGCCTTAACCTCTGTGCCCTTCCTGCCTGTCATTCTGTCCCTCAAGATTGGCTTAAAGTCCCTCCCTAAGGATGCCACTCACTGTGCCCTCCACAGAGCTGTCCCTCCTCCCTCCTTCCCTGCTTGCTCTGGCACAGGCAGGCCAGGCTGTGGCTGCTCCCTCTGTCACCTTGGCCACCTCCTCTGGGCCCCACACTTCTGGGTGCTTTTAAGCTCCAAGCTTTCTCTTTGTCTTTGTGAGTCTCCCCACCAACACCTCAGTTCCCTCAAACAACTTCTCCCACAGATGTTGAGGCCATCTCCTGCTGCACCAGCGTCCTTGAGTCTGCAGGATCCACAGACAAGTGCAAAGACACCATGTGGCTAGATGGGACCTCCTGTGTCCCAGCCATGCCACAAGCAGGATGTACCCACCAGGAAGAGTGAAGGTGGTTCAGCGCCTGCCCTGATAAGCAGCACGCCCCAGCCCAGCCAATCAGAATAAGGGCTCACTGCTTAAGCTCTTGAACTAGACACAGCTGTTACTGCATTGGTCTGCTCTGGCTGCTATAACAAAATGCCACAGGTCAAGCAGTTCAGAAACAACAAAAAGGGATGTCTCAGTTCTGGAGAGAGGGAAGGCCCCTATAGGTTCAGCATCTGGTGACAGACACTGATCATTAGATGGGGCCTTCTAGCTGCGTTTTAACGTGGAGGGGACAAAGAGGTCTCTCTTGGGCCTTTCAGTCAGGGGAGGCCTTGCCAAGGAGGTGGCTAGAAAGCCAGGGAAGGGAGAATGCTAGCACTAGGACAGTAGGGGGAGGGCATTCCCGTCTGAGGGACCGATGCACGCACAGGTCCTGAGGTGGGAGAGCAGGCCTTGTCAGGAACTGACAGGAGGCAAAAGCAAAAGAAAGGAGTAAGGGGACGGCATTCAGTCACACGGGGTTTCCCAAGGGCGCAATCGTGCACTGTGCCTCCCAGCAGTGAGAAACACAACGGGGGCTCACACAGTGTGGAGCTATCTGACTGGCTGAGGACTTCTCGGGAGGCAGCAGATGCATTAATCACCCTCCTGGGACAAAATGCCTGGCAAAAGCTACGCGAGGAAAGAAGGGCTCACTCTGACTCAGTTGGAGAGTTCAGCCCATCGTGGCGGGGAAGTCGTGGAGGCAAGGATGAGGCCACTGGTCACAGTGAACCACAGCCAGGAGAAATGCTTGCCGGTGCTCAGCTCACTTTCCAGGACCCCAGCCTAGGGAATGGTGCTGCCCACACTCAGGGTGCATCTTCCCACCTGGAAGCATCCTCACAGACAAGCCCAGAAGTGTGCCTCCATGAGTTTTTAAAATCCAGTCAGGTTGTTGTTGAAAATGAGTCATCAGACAGGGCTCACTGGGTGCTGGGCAAGTTCACTTGTGTCATGTTATAGATGCTAGGCAAGAGTGTAGGCAGGTGTGCAGTCAGGTACTGGGAAGTGTTTGGGAAGATACATGCGCAGGTATGTGGCAGGTGTGAGTAGGTGTATAGTAGGTATACAGTCAGGTGTGGCAGGTGTGGGTAGCCATATAGTAGGTCTACAATCAGATGTGGGCAGGTGTGTGGCAGGTGTGTGGGCAGGTGTGTGGGCAGGTGTGTGGGCAGGTGTGTGGCAGGTGTGTGGCAGGTGTGTGGGCAGGTGTGTGGGCAGGTGTGTGGCAGGTGTGTGGGGAGGTGTGTGGCAGGTGTGTGGCAGGTGTGTGGCAGGTGTGTGGCAGGTGTGTGGGCAGGTGTGTGGGCAGGTGTGTGGGCAGGTGTGTGGGCAGGTGTGTGGCAGGTGTGTGGGCAGGTGTGTGGCAGGTGTGTGGGAAGGTGTGTGGGCAGGTGTGTGAGCAGGCAGACATGTGAGAAACACAAAATGATAAAACAGAGGCTTGAAGAGTACAGAGCTGTACCCAAGTGCGAACAAGAGCAGCCATTGACAATAATGATGGGAGTTCTCTCCTGGCCTGCACACTGGTTTGAGCCTTAGCCAGTTATTCTGAAGGTATGTGACTGCCCAGTTTACTGTGTCCTGGGGAAGCCTAGAGTATTGCCAGGCAAGCTGGTACCTGTGGCTCTCCAAGGTCCCACGAGGGGCTTTTTCCACATGGGCACAGCTTTGCTCTCTTGGCCTCTTGGCTCTGGCATCATCAGCCACACTCAGGAAATGTCTTGGCCCCTCATTCACACTAAAGTGTAAATGACTAAGAAGGTGATAATAACCTCCATTCCCTAGGGTTTTACATTTTAAGTGGGCTGGGAGGATTCTTGAGCCAAAGACAAAGTTCCCAGTGATAAAATGACTGAAATACAGCATTTGGTAAAGAATCTGAGTAAATACTGCTCCAGGGAAGATGGAGAGAAGTGCTGACAAGCACAGCAAAGATGCCCTGAGTCAGGAAGGGGCAGGGCAACCCTTGAACTTGACACCCACAAGCACAGCTACAAGCCAGAAAGATGGAATGTTGGGTGTCAGGAAGGGGAGCCACTCCCACAGGCTGCTGGTGAGGAGGAAAGCCAGCACAGTTACTCTGGAATCTACAGGTGGGGTCACCGTGTGGTCTGGAGAGTCTACTCCCAAATCTACACCCAAGAGACATGGAGCCATGTATTCACAGGGATATTCTTCTAGGAATGTTCATGGCATGATTAACGGCCATAAAGCCAAAAAACCCAAAGCCCCCCCCCAAAAAGATGACAGAATGGACAAACCTTACCTCTGTGCAATGGCGTATTATTCAGTTGTAAAAAGGACCAAAGCATCCAATGCCGGTGGAGAGTTGCCAGGAAGCACAGCTAACGGAATGCAAAGGACGGACCCAGGACCTTGCGTGAGCTACGCAAGCACTCCACTGCTGACCTGTAATCCCAGCCCCACTGACTTCCTACTTCTTTTTATTTTGAGATGGGGTCTCTGTGAGTGTGGCAGTTGATGCTGACTGCTGCTTCGGTGGGATCTAGAGTCATGGAAGTAAGGAGACTCTGAGCTCATGAGGAAGTTTCTAGATGAAGCTAATCGATGTGGGAAGATCCACCTAGCTGTGGTGGCACCAGCCCATGCACTGGTGCCTGATGCCCTCCACCACGTCATTCTGGAGGAGCGTCTCTGAGTCTCCACTTTTCTCTTTTCCTCCATGAACACACCCCGCTCTGAGAGTGTAACATCTAACCGTGTGTGGACGCTAACCACAGGGCCTTGGCAAATGCAAGCACACTCCCATGTTACCGGCTAACACATGGCGGTGTCTCCAGCAGTGTAGACGTGGGACTTGGTGTTTTGCAACTGCTGATCCTCAGATCTTCTCTGGCTTCAGTTTCCCCATTGGAAGCATGGGGATGGTGAAGGTACTGGCTTCACTGGGTGGTGATGGCCCCTCCCAGGAATCAGTGCCGTGCTACCTCATGAGGGCCGCCATAATGTAGATCCTTGATCCTGTTCCTCCGGCCTCGTCTGTGTCACAGCAGCACCAGGCTTGTTTGTAGCTGCACAGACTCATGGGACCCAGGCCAAGCTCTCAGACAGTGCCCTGCAGACGACAAACGGGAAATGTGAGCCATTCACAGGAATCGTCCCTGGTCTTCCCGAGTGTGTCTCCACAACCCAAACAAAACACAGAGAATGAAATTACCAGTTGTCAGCCAAGGGCCACTCAGGACCTCATGAGAGCATTGCCAGTGGTCACAGCAGGAATGGGGGGGTTGGCTGGAAAAAGGGGTATGTACTCTATTTAAGATACTGTGAAAGACAGGATGTCCCCATAAACATGACTGTCCCTAACACAGAGATCGGCCCCAAGTCAGGGAGGGTGAGGGCAACCCTCAGAAGGGCCAAGGGTGACCATCATTTGCAGAGAGGGAGCAGAAGAAGCCAAAGCCACCTCTCTCCAGCTGCAAAGGCCACATGTGCACAGGGCCTGGGGCCACCACCACCACCCCCACCCCGCTGGCCCGGATCCATCTGCCGGCACCGTGTCTGCGCCAATGCTGTTTAGACAGCCTGCGAGGGTGGGTGGTCAGGCCCGAGCCAGGCGAAGTTTACAGAAGGCCCTGGCACAAATGAACTGTTGATGGCCGACTGGAAGGGCTCCATGAAATCACAACATGTAAAGTATGAAAGGGAGAATAAAGGAAAGAAAGGCCATTTGAAAGGAAGTCGAGCAACCGCCAAAGGCCGGGACTATGCGCAGGAGCCCCCATCGAACGCGGCACTGGCCCCAGCCAGGCCTTTTCCTCTTACCACACATGCAGCGTCAAAAAAAATCATAGGTTTAAATAGTTTTTATGCATCAAATACAAGAAACAGGCCGACATTTTCTCACCCTCTGTTACGTGGCAGGCTAATATTTGGCCATTTACGCTCCATTGGAGACCATTCTGGGGAACGGGACCCTTCCAGGTTGGTGGCCGCCCGCCCTGGTGGCCAGCACTTCAAGGCCAGGTCTAAGCACGGAGGGTCCACGGCCCGCTGCTGGGGGAACAAAGGCTTGGCTTCCCAGCCAGCCATGTCAACATATTTAAAGTTGCTTTATGAAGTGGGATCATTTCACAGTGCCTACATGGGTCAAGGTTGTTCCCTGGAATGATCTTAGTAACATTTACAGGAAGGGACACAGGGAAGATGGTGACAGGTGTGTTAGACTGGCTGAGAGTATGTCCTCCTCTGCCACTTCTTACTCCACTTTAACCATTGTCTGTGATGAGCAGAACCCAGTTTTAATTTTGTCATTGTCAAATGACCAAACATCATCATGATTTGTGACATTTGATCCCTGTGAGAGAGTGGTCTCCACAACTGGGTGGTGGAGACACTCTGCATCTAATTTGTTCTGACTTGATTTGCATAAACAGCTCCTATTATTTTAGGGTCTCCCCGTTGATAGCGGTCCCACAATGAACTGTCCGAGTCCTTGTCAGTGTCCCTGACCTGGTCCCCAGAGGGGGTTTTGACCACAAAACATTGACAGCTCTTGTCTGCAGGCAAGAGCATTGAAGATCTGCAAAATTCAGACTCTGTTTATAGATGTATTCCCCTAGTCCTGGGGGATGCCCAGATGCCATGGGACACCCAGGCTCTGCCCTGGCCTTGCTCATAAGCCTGACAGCCTGCAGTCTGCACCACCAGGCTCTGCCAGGACGACGGCCCTTGCTATCTCAGCCCTACCCCACTCTAGTTTGCATTATTACAGACATTTCTGCTGGCTGCAGCATGTGTGCGTGTGCGTGCATGCGTGTGCACGTGCGTGCATGTGTGTGAGTGTGAGTGTGTGTGTTGCGTGCCCCTGTGTGTGCTTTTGTGGAGGACAGAGCTTTGTTTCTCTGTATCCATATTGTTTTTCTTGAGACAGGATCTCTTACTTAACCAGGAGCTCATGGACCAGCAGACAGTCTGGCCGAAGCACTCAGAGGATCCTCCTGCTCCATGCAGTCTTTTTTCGTGGGTACTGAAAAGCCGAGTGTGGTCCTAATGTGTGCGCAGTAGGCACTTTACCCACTGAGCCACCCAGCCCCAAGCCCTTTTACTTGCATTTCATGGATGTGCATTTCACAGTGACAGGGACAGAGCTGGCATTCATCCACAGCAAACTCACACCCACAGATTCCTTTTCTCCATCATTTCCCAGAATTCCAGGTCTGCTTCATGTGAGTTTCAGAGTTACATGGGGGGGGGGCTTTAGCCATCATCTATTCTTTTCAGGGTGAACTGGAGGTGGTTCACCCCACATATCAGTGCAGACACCACCCAGGTCAAAGCCCTACCCTGCCAGGTCACACCTCACATAACCCACATCCTCCCTGCATCTATTCCACCAGCTTGAAATGGGCAGAGAACAGTGGTGTCTCCACTGGCAAAGTTTAAATGTCCATCTGTGTAAAATGCTGAGACCAGTGCCTGGCATGATGGGGGCACTCTACGAGGGCTAAGATTAAAAGGTAACTCTATTTAAAGAAAGATACCATGGTTTGCAAAACATAAAAATAATTAGTTTCCTCTGAAATAATTTCTGTGTAGAACAAAATGGTCCTGGCATTTTGCTGCTGTGGAAATCGATCATGACTTGGTCCCATTTCAACCCCATGACACTACATCCTTGGGGTGAATCTGTGCCCTTAACATACTTTTGGATCACAGGGAGAGACCAGTGGCCTCAGAGGAGGAGGGGTGTGTCTAGGAGGGAGCCCACTGGTCACCGCTGCCAGCAAAGTGGAGAGCCACCAGCAAGCTCTTGCGTCCTCTGGGCCCAATGGAAGAGGGCAGGGTCCTGGATGACCTGCACATTAGAAGGATGGGGTCTGGTCCCCGAGCTGGGAGAAGTGTTGAGCAACAGCCTCACTGGGGTCTCGTGGGGCAGGCCTGGAGCTGGAGTGGCTGTGAGAAGGGAGCAGGGATGCCCATCTGAAAGGAAGAGAAACAGAGAGGAGAAAGAAGAGGGAGAGAAGGGGCAAGAAGAGGGAGGGAGGGAAGGAAAGAGGATTGTGGGTAAAAGGGGGAGAGAGGTAAGGAGAGGAGAGAGGAGACAGAAAGGAGGAAGAGAAAGAGGGAAAGGAGGAGAGAGGGAACTCAAGAGGGGGCGCCAGGAAGGAAGAAAACCAGAGGCAGGCAAGCGGCCTGGATCCCCAGTCCTCGCTTTCAATGTGGGCTTCAATTACACATGTGGGGCAGGCAAAGGAAAACACGAACCCCCAAGAGGGTCACGACCCTCAAATATGTTTTTAAATCCGTGGAGGAAATTCCCAATTTGCTGCCGCTGGACAGTGTTTTCATTCCTCCCCTAAATGCGGTTCACGACCTTCAGCAGAGAAGCGCGACCTCCACGCGGGGCTTTTAACTCCTGCAGAGGTCCGGGTAGTGTTGGCTGTTCCGGATGAGATGCTGGATGGGGGTGAGCAGGGATCCCACTGGCAGTAAATCACACAGGATCACAGCGGAGGCCCCCTCTGTTTGGGTAAGAACTGCAGGGCCGCCTTGGGGTGGCCAGAGCAGGGAGGAGGGAGGGAGGGAGGAAAACGTGCTTTCACGGGAGTTGTTAGCACTGAACACTGAAAAAGACAGGGAGCAGCGTGCTTTTTTTTTTCTCCTCTGATCCAAAAAGCATGCCAGGCTAATTGAATAGATTGTAGACTCAGCCTCAGCCACAAAGCCTAGTGATTGATTTTGCAAGGCGATGGAACTGCGCGGAGCGCACACAAGCAGCTAAACAATCCAACCAAGGGTGCCCCACTCCATCCATGCCCTTTCATCTAGGAAACATCACATTTGGATTCTTTCCGTGGGAATTTCCCTCAAAGGACCTGGGCCTTTCTCAGAGGACTGGAGACCCACTTTGAGATGTGCTGGAGCTTTGGCTGGCTGCCTCCCAGGCTCTTCCCAGAACCACACTCTCTGGAGGTCCCTGGGATCATTTGAGGGCCCTGGGCTGCTATAGGTACCTGGACTCCGGGAGAGAAAACCAACAGAAGCATCACAGAGTCTGATACATGACTGAGCCCCTGACCCCAAGGGATGGAGGGTGGCTGGAGAGATGACTCAGCAGTTAACAGCCCTGGCTGCTCTTCTAGAATGCCTGGGTTCTGTTCCTCACACCCTCATGGCAGCTCACGATCATCTCTAACTCCAGTTCCAGGTGATCCAACACCCAATTTTGGCCTCCTCAGGCACCAGGCATGCGTGTCATGCATAGACACACATGCAGGTAAAACAGGTGTGTACATTTAATAATAATAATAATTTAAAGAAGGGGAGAAGCCAAACCAGGGAGGAAGGGAGGGAGAGAGAGGGAGAGGGAGAGGGAGAAGGAGAGAGAGAGAGAGAGAGAGAGAGAGAGAGAGAGAGAGAGAGAGAGAGAGAGAGAGAGAGAGAGAGATACATAGTAAAAACATACATATCCCTGGCTCCCTTGGAACTCACTATGTAGATAGGCCAGGCTGGCCTCAAACTCATAAATTGATCCGCCTCTGCCTGCTAAATGCTGGGATCAAAAGTGTGTACCACCACACCAGACTCCACCATAGTTTTGGAGACAAGGTCTCTTACTGAATCTGGAGCTCACCATTTTGACTAGATTGGCTGGCCAATGAGTACCCAGGGATCTGCCTGCCTCCCCCACCACAGTCACCCCCCCAACCCCCACCCCTCACCCCCCCCCCCCCCACCCCGCCTCCCACTAGGCTACACATTTACACTGCCAGGTGTAGCTTTTTTTTTAATGTGGGTTCTGGTTAGCTGGAAAGTTTCTGCAGTGAGGGCTGTAAAATGGGGCGAGATGTTACCAAGGGCCCAGTGATGGCTTCCACCTCCTCAGCGCATGTGCCATCCCTGGGGAGGAGCCCTGCAGAGCTGTGGCTCTGGGCGCACCAATAAGGCTGTCCATCCATGTGGGGCAGGGCGTTGATGCTCCCTCCTGCTCCGGACTCTCCAGCACTGCATTTAAGCAGCACCCCAGGAAGTGGAGCATATCAGCGGCCATTTTTCTCCTGTCCAGATCTGCACTGTGGGCGATAAAGGCAGCGCTGGCTG